CAAAAAAGGCACAACCCCTTATTTAGCCTCCACACTCATAAAATTTAAGGACATTTGCCTTCACCTTAAGATCCACTTGGTTTTGTTAAAGCATCATTTTATCAAAAACAATTTTATTAGAAAAGTATTTAAAAAAATATTATACGAAAAATCAAAAAGTATTATATAAAAAGTTATTAAGTTTTGTAATAAAGTTTTGTTAAAATTTTGTTGAATTATTAATTTTGTTGCATTTAATAAGAAATTGATATAAAAAAAGTTAATGAGAAAAATTATTCAGTAGATTCCATATAGGGAAACTTTTTCCTAACAAAATAAGTGGGAAAAAAAATCTTTACGAATTAAGAATTATATCAAGAAAAATAGAAATTAAAAATGTCACTTTTATTTTTTTATAATATTAATATGTAAAAATACATAAATAATTTTATAAAAAAAGAAAATTTAGAGAATTTTAAGAAAGAAAGTTTCTCAACCAAACACCCCCTAAAATTGAAAGGTATTAGTTTTAAATTGCACAATTTAAGTAAAATAGTCCCAATTTAACGAATTTATAATGACAAATAAACGAGGAAAGTTAAATATCCATTTTTCCGATTACATCCAATGTCCAATGACAAGTGACCTTCCTCTCCGCAACATTGCATCACACTCATGATTTTTTCATTAAAAATAACATTTAAAGAGTTATAAAAGAGCCCATAACAAAGTTGTGACTCTCCCACTTTCATATTTTCTTTAATTTGTTTTTCTTCACTTCTTTCTTTTTTTTTCTTCTCTTCCAAGGACCTTTGCCCGTATCATAAAAGAAAATAAAGAAATGTAGTTTCATGTTAATCACTACCTTAATAACCAATTTACTTGCATTGAGTACTGTTGAATTCATGCGTCTCTAGTTGAAAAAATCACTGGCTTAAAGAGTTTGATGTCAATAGCCGGTATGACCACAATTGTCACTATTGTCAGGGTCTGTGTGATGGTAATGTCTCCAATAAAATCTGGTTTGTCATTGATCTCAGGTACTTCTCATCATACTTTAAAAGTTGGACCTATCAAACACGCCATCGAGCCCGTCAAATTACTGCTTTTAAGATTAGAGAAAATAAAGAAATTTTTAAAGAAAAGAAATAAAGAAAAAAAAAAAGAGAATTAGAGAAAATATGAAAGTGAGAGAGTTGCAACTTTTTTGTAGGGCCTTTATTATTTTTTTAAATGTAATTTTTAATGGAAAAAGTCCATAAGGTGACGCCATGCTGGAGAGAGTGGGGTCATCCGTCATTGTACGGACAAATAGATATTTAACAAGTTACGATTTTGAAAGTAGGAAAATTCAAAACTTAATTATGTAATATATTTACAATTTGAGTTATAATAACTAAATTAAAAGTTAAATTTAAAAAAATAAAAAAATTTTAAAAATTAAAAAAAAAAAGAGTCAAGCCTTAGATTACAAATTAGCTTAGAAAACGCGTTACCACGAGCCCTTTTCCATTTTGCTTAGGCGTAATTTATAATGGAAAAAGTCCATAGCGTGAAGTCATGTTGGAGAGAGAAGGGTTATGGGTCGTTGTACAGACAAATAGATATTCAATTTTCACCATTAAATTTTGGTATTTTTTTTTTAAATCATGTAATTTGAGGATTAATTTCAACTTTATTTAATAAATTATCTATTAATTACTATTTTTTTTTCATTTTAGTCTAAATATTTTATTTTCTTTAAAACTCATCTATTAACTTTTAAAACCATTTCATTTTCATCTACTCAACACAACACCGTTACTCATTTGTTAACCACCGTTAATCACATTAATGGAAGTTCCAATTTTCAATCGTGTGGTGCCATGCAAGTTGCCCTTTAATACCACATAACCAAACTATTGGCCTAAAAAATAGAAGGAAACTTTCAGGAGTAAAGGTGCAAATAAAGATTCCAACTTTACACTTTTTTCTATTTAAGGATGTTAACTTTGTCAGTTTTTAAATAAGGATGTCAACTTTCAATTTTTTTCTAAATAA